ATTTGATGACAAGGCTGCTTGACCCATGCTTTTCACCTCGTCATCATTATAATGTCATTTGTGATAATGTATTGACATTCTGTTATGGTATCAATGCAGCTGATAAAGTTAAATCTACAACCTGATGCAAAAGGTTCATATGTAGAAGTTTTGGAGAGGTATGTCAATTTGGGGCCTATTGTTGACTTTTGTGTGGTTGACCTTGAGAGGCAAGGGCAGGGTCAAGTTGTAACTTGCTCTGGAGCTTATAAGGATGGTTCCCTTCGCATAGTTCGAAATGGAATAGGAATCAATGAACAGGTCCATCTTGTGTTTTAAGGAATTTCTTTACGCTTAATAGAGTTAACCTTTTTATATTCACATAACTTATATGTTGTTGCATTTATGCATGTTATAGGCCTCAGTAGAACTTCAAGGTATCAAAGGAATGTGGTCTTTGAGATCCTCTACAGATGATCCATTTGACACCTTCCTGGTTGTTAGTTTTATTAGTGAGACACGCATTTTGGCAATGAATCTTGAGGATGAGTTGGAAGAAACAGAGATTGAGGGATTTAATTCTCAAGTGCAGACATTGTTCTGCCATGATGCTGTTTACAATCAACTTGTACAGGTGAGAGCTTTTGCCATCAAATTGGCAGCAATCATTGCATGAGCATACAGTAGGTGAAGTTTATTTGTGTAATGTTGCTGTTTTTATTTAAGCCAGTGTTAGCATCTATATACTCTAGCTTTTCCTTTTTGTAGTTTTACTTGCCCTGTGGATAGAGTTTTATGAGATGATCACTAGCTCATATGATTTGCTTGTTGATAGTAAGAGCAAGCAATATGTTTATGACAAATAAATATTATATGTACTTCATGCCAACTGATGAGAATCATGGCAGGTCACTTCAAGCTCTGTGAGGCTGGTGAGTTCAATATCTAGAGAGCTACGGCATGAATGGAATGCTCCACCTGGGTATTCAGTCAATGTTGCCACTGCTAATGCCACCCAGGTACTCTTTCCTATCCCTTTCTAAAATGTCGAGACTGGCTGTTTTGTTTTTATGTAGGTTTCAAAACATGTTCATACAAACAAATGCCTTTTTCGTATCTCTTTCTAATGATAATAATCTTTCCTATTTCTTCCTAATGATAATTTTGTCCTTTTTTGAGATGGTTTTACAATGGAAAGGCTTGATGTAAATCTTCTTCTACCTTTCTACTCTTTACAAATGCTTCTTGTATAAGGGACTTGTAGTTAAGTCTTTGCATTGTTTGTATTTCAGGTTTTACTAGCAACAGGGGGTGGTCATTTGGTTTATCTGGAAATTGGTGATGGCACATTGACACAAGTAAAACATGTGCAGCTGGAGTATGAAATCTCATGTCTTGACATTAACCCCATTGGTGAGAACTCTAATTACAGTCAGCTGGCTGCAGTTGGAATGTGGACAGATATAAGTGTGAGGATATTTTCACTCCCTGACCTGAATCTCATCACAAAGGAGCAATTGGGAGGAGAGATTATTCCTCGTTCTGTTCTTCTTTGCTCCTTTGAAGGGGTATGAGTTTATTTGATGTTTCTTCAGCTTTAATCTTATCTCACTGATTTGTTTAGCTTCTCTTATGATGTGTGTGATATTGCTAAGTGTTTTAATGTTGGCCTAGCTGCAAAGCAATACATTGATTATTCATCTCAGACTTGCTTAATAAGAGCACTGCAGTTAAGACCCTGTTGGCCATGTGGAACTATGATATTTCGCATTTGTCTTTCTGTGTTCTTGATTCCATACATTGTAGTTAACTATGTTGTCATACCAATGTTTAAAGTCATTTTGTTCCTTTTGCAGATCTCTTACTTGTTGTGTGCCCTTGGAGATGGTCATCTTCTAAATTTTCAATTGAACATGAGTAGCGGTGAGTTAACAGATAGGAAAAAGGTTTCTCTTGGGACCCAGCCCATAACGCTTCGTACTTTCTCCTCTAAGAATACCACCCATGTATTTGCTGCATCTGATAGGCCAACTGTCATTTATAGTAGTAACAAGAAACTACTCTACAGCAATGTCAATCTGAAGGAAGTCAGTCATATGTGCCCTTTTAACTCTGCTGCTTTTCCAGATAGGTATGCTTCTCCTATTCGTTCTCTTAGATCTGTTTTTTATAACTTGAAAGGAAAAGATTTTTCTCTCTTTATATTGGTTCGTTTGAAGTTCTGTATATCCTTAGACCAAGTTATTTTTACCCATAATTCAGAAGGTTTTGCATGCAAAATTAAGCTTTGCTGCAGTGCATATGACAGAGGCTAACAGACTAATATTATTACTCTGAAATTTGGTGCTCAGAAGTGTCTAAATTTACGTTGTTTGATCATACTGCGTAGTTTCTCTCAGTAATGAGGTAAACTTGTATAAGAAACATGTGTATAGCAGTTATTATTCATAATATGTAATACCTTCTGCTTCTGCAATTCATTGACATGTAATACTAGCTCCAGTCTGAATTAACCTATTGAAGGTCAATTTCTGTAGCATTAGTGCTCTAATGACCAGATACTTGCATTGATTGGTTTGGAAGTTTAGTGCTGGCAGATAAGCTTTTTGCTATTTAGAGTTCTTTCTTTAAGACATACTTGGGTTAAGAGTACTTATTACTGTATTTCTTTCACCAGCCTTGCCATTGCAAAAGAAGGTGAACTTACTATTGGCACTATTGATGATATCCAGAAGCTTCACATTCGCTCTATCCCACTCGGGGAGCATGCTCGTCGCATCTGCCATCAGGAACAATCTCGGACCTTTGCAATATGTAGTTTGAAAAACCAGCCTAGTGCTGATGAATCTGAAATGCATTTTATCCGCTTGCTAGATGATCAAACCTTTGAGTTTATTTCGACCTACCCTCTTGATACTTTTGAGTATGGTTGCTCCATACTGAGCTGTTCATTTTCGGATGATCCTAATGTATATTATTGTGTGGGGACTGCATATGTTTTGCCAGAAGAAAATGAGCCGACTAAGGTGTCATTTCATTCTTGTTTTTTACTCTTTTTGGTTTTTGTTTTTAAATCAAAAGCTTTCATGTGAAAATTTCTAATTCCAATGTTTAACTTTCTTCACAGGGCCGAATATTGGTGTTCATTGTTGAAGATGGGAAGTTACAGCTTATTGCTGAAAAGGAAACTAAGGGGGCAGTTTACTCTCTAAGTGCTTTCAACGGCAAACTACTGGCTGCAATTAATCAAAAAATCCAGCTGTACAAGTGGATGCTTCGGGAGGATGGCACCCGGGAGCTGCAATCTGAATGCGGACATCATGGCCACATACTTGCCCTCTATGTACAAACTCGTGGGGATTTCATTGTTGTTGGTGATCTGATGAAATCAATATCCTTGTTAATCTACAAAGTAATTAGGCTTCCGAAACACTCTACTAAGTCTTCACGTGCAATCATGCTTATTTTTCTGTTTGTGTGCATTTCTTGGCTTCATCGCCAATGATTTAGATTTCAAACCCCTTCTGTTCTAACTAATTGGTGCACAATTTGATTACAGCACGAAGAAGGTGCAATTGAGGAACGAGCCCGTGACTATAATGCTAACTGGATGTCAGCTGTTGAGATTCTTGATGATGACATCTATCTTGGTGCTGAAAACAACTTCAACCTCTTCACAGTTCGGAAGAACAGTGAAGGCGCTACTGATGAGGAACGGGGCCGTCTTGAGGTGGTTGGTGAGTACCACATTGGGGAATTTGTCAACCGATTCCGTCATGGTTCCCTTGTTATGCGATTGCCAGATTCTGATGTAGGCCAGATTCCAACTGTTATTTTTGGCACCGTTAACGGTGTCATCGGTGTCATTGCTTCACTTCCTCATGAGCAGTATGCCTTTTTGGAGAAGCTCCAATCGAACTTAAGAAAGGTAATAAAGGGCGTCGGAGGGCTGAGCCATGAGCAATGGAGATCATTCAACAACGAGAAGAAAACTGTGGAAGCCAAAAACTTTCTGGATGGTGATTTGATCGAATCATTCCTTGATCTGAGCCGTGGTAAGATGGAGGAGATTTCCAAGGCAATGAGTGTTTCAGTGGAGGAGCTTTCCAAGAGAGTTGAGGAACTGACGAGGTTGCATTGATACGTTGTTGAATCTAATTTTTTATTCTTTGTTTGGCCATATTTAGAGACCCTTGTTATTGGCATGTGTAGAAGAAGATTTGCATTTTCTTTGAAAACTGAGATGCGTGTGTATTATAATTTTATCATCTCGTTGTTCATATGACATTTCTTTTGCCCTTGATGACCACTCCCATAGCTATTGATTTGGCAGTTCACAAGGACCTCCATCTCTTTGGCTCTCTCCTAAAATTCTCTACATCCGAATTCGGATCATCTTTGTACTTTTTCATTTTGTTTTTGGGAGTTTTTATCTTTGATATTTAGCCTTGTCGCAAGATTATTAACCTAATCTTATCTTTCCTGTTCGATTTTAAAAGCGTGTTTGACGTAGTCTGTTTTAACATTATTAACATTTATAACTTTTTTAAGATCTTTTTATTTATCTGGTGTGGAATTGAAATACTTTATTTATGTTTTGTCTTTAAAAAGCACATCAAAATTCTTTAACCGTAATTGCAATGAATTTCAAATTGAAAAATGTTAAAAAAGGTTCTTTTTTGGAGAAAATGTAGAGAGTTTGATGTCTGGCTTTCGACTGCCTTGGCACGTTATATTCTCAACGCACGCAAGCACCATTAGATGTAGTCTCCAAACAGGCTTGCTTGTCCTTCAAATGTTTGAAAACTTCCTTCGCAGAAGCAGATGAAGCAGTAACAAAGTAGAAGAGAAAGATAGCTCCATCACTGCGTAGTATCAAAATTATCTTGAATCTGTTTTTGCTTAGTCAGTTTGTCACAGGCGGCATTGCAGAGCGGTTGAAGTATGCTACGCCTTCCATCAGACCAGCCATAGATAATCAAAAAGGGTGAACATGAACAAGGAAAGTCACACCTGTTAGAAGCTCATAATAAGAACCCAAAATTTTGCAGTTCCCAAATAACAAAGTAGAAGTTCTGGATCATGCATTTGACTAGGTGATACATGTCTTGGGAGGAATGACAATTACAACATCAACATCGAAAACTCAAAAATGAATGTCCTCAAGCTCCTGCTTCAGGAGACCTGGTTTGTCGCTGCAATTCTTCATCAGCATTTCTCAGGAATTGGTCCCAGCCGCTCCCGGGGCTAGTATCCAAGTAATCATATGGAACCGCTGTCTTCAAACCTGGCCGAACAGCACATTGGCTCTCTACAATTCTGAAGTCCAAGCAATCTCCTTCTCTCGGTTTTTGCTCCAATTCCTCCCAGGTAAACAGCAGAGGCAGTGTAAATGCACCCCAAGGATTGAAATCCAACAACTTGACACGCTCATCCTTTGTAACATAAACATCAAATGTGTAATCTTCTGATTCAAATTGTAGCCTCAGCTTGTCATTGAAGAATTCTTTAATCAACATTTCAAGATCATTTTTCTTCTCACAAAGAACAGGATAAAATGTAGTGACCTCCCGCTGTGAAACTCCAACAAGGTGCTGGCCCTGGACAAAGCAACGGAATTCCATTTCTGGTCGTAGAGATGGATACCACTTCCGAAGGGCAAGGAAGAAATTTGGGGGTCTTGACATGGTTTTGTCACTGCATGAATCATATGCATGGCATAAATCATGGGTTAAGGAGTCAGATGACCGAAGCAAGAGAGCAATCTCGCTGAATGTAGCACAACGGAGAGTCCCAGATGTGCTTATCCATGCAGAGTCCTTTGGTGCACTCCAATTCAACTTAGGAAAGACTGCTCCTCCTACGGTTTCAATCGACTCCTTAATCTTCAACTCAAGTTCGGGGAAAGAAGGGGGCACTGAAGGTTCTGCTTCATCTCCAGATCCTTCTGACACTTGATAGTCTTCTTCCTCTTCAGGATTATGAATCCTATTGGGCAAGGCATCCTCATTTGAGATGGAAACAGGGAGCAGAAATGGTCCAGAATCATCAAGCAGGTACTGGACAAAAGATTCAGGAAGCTCATGAATGAGGGTTCTAATTGACACTGACTTAAATTTTGGGTACCATTCTTGAATCTGACATCGATTTACTTCTTCTTCCTTCATTGCTGCAATGACGCAGTAGCTGAAGATTTTTCAACTTTGCTATCTGGTGTCAAAAAGCCAATTCAACATGATCAAATTCAGCATCAATGAATTCATATACCATTTCCCTCTAAAAACATTCTCAAACAACAGAAGAAGAGTCACAAATACACGCATACATACATACATACATACATACATAATCAATCGGTTAGAGTGTATTTGATATTAACGAATTAACCAATTAACGAACTAACAAAAGAGAACCATAAAAAGGGTCTATTGAAACACCAAATTTGAGATGAGAAACAACTGAAAATCATGGGAAAGTTTACGATTTAAAGAGGAACCCAGACTCAAATCAATGGTACCTGGCACTAACAAAATAATTCAATCTCTTAGCCATACAATTTTCTCAACCAATATTGTGCTAACCATACTTTGTTTAACAACAATTAATTAAAGAACAAAGAGCTAACCTCCTTTCAGGGTTTTGCAGGCGACGGCAGCAGAAAAGGGGTGCTGGAACGTTTGAGAGACGCTGAAGAGTGCTTGCAGAAGCAGAAGGTGAACGCAGAACACCCTGAAAAATGAAAACGTGATTGGACTTTAGAATCGAAATTGAGATCCAAAAAGAAAATGATTGGGCCATCTAGGTGCCCAGTAATGACTACTCCTGGGCCAAGTATTTGGGCTCAACTCTGGGCCAGATTTTCTGATTATTCAACATTATGTTAATCGTGTATATATATAAAAATATATATTTATATAAAATACATTTTAAAAACTGTTAATAATATTTTACTATATAGTCTAAATGCCTTTAATTTAATCGTATGTATATATATATATATATATAATATTATCAATCCTTGATTTTTCTATTGGTTCCTATTATATATTTTAGACATAAAAAATTAATCAGATTAATCAAATAAATGATCTCTCTAACTAATTAATATCGAAACCCAAAAAACTATTAAATTAATCAAATGATAATCAATTTATACAAATTAATACTCACATTCACAAATGTATCGTTGTCCTTGTTTCTTACCCAATCTTTCTTTCTTTCTTTCTTTCTTTATATTTTTAAAAACGAATTTAGAAGATATATAGCTCGGGTCTTTGGTATCCAAGATTGATTGACATATCTTATCACGATAGAGAAGATTCATGCTCTTTTACTATTTTTCGTTTTGTCATTAATGGCCCATCATAGAAAGCAATTTTCACTAATGCTGGTTCTATTCATCACCAGTGGTAGAGCCAAAAATTTCATGTTTGGGATGAAAATAATGTTTGTAAAATAATTATATTAAAATTTTAATATTTAAAGGGGTAAAATTATAAAATTTATAAA